CAACAGGGGAGCCAGCTCTTCAGAAAGGGAAGAGCCAATGTAAATTCTTCTGTCTGGGTGCTCCTTTTCTAAGACCACAGGGATGAGTTCCTCGACTGGTTCTCCTCTTTCTGTTGCGGAGTCATCCCTTGGGTCAAGGACCTCAACCTGCAATGCTTCTTGGGGCTTCCTAGCCTTCATAGAGGATACATAGCACTCTCTGGCTGTTATTTGGTCCCCTTTGACCTCTCCGACTCCATTTGAGGTTGGAAAGCGGAGAACGAGATGGTAGGTAGAGGGCACAACTCTTAATGTGTTAAGAGCTGGCCGCCCTAATATGATGTTGTAGGCTGACGGGCACTCTATTACCAGGAAATTGACCATGACTGTGGAGCTTCGGGGTGTTACTCCGGCGGTGACGGGAAGTGTGATGGATCCAAGGGGATACACTTTTTCCCCTGAGAATCCAATGAGGGGTGACCTGATTGGCTGTAGCCTCTCCCTGCCCAGGTTGAGCTTGTCATAGGCCTCTGCAAACAGGATATCTGCAGAGCTGCCACTATCCACCAGGATCCTGTGCACATGAAAATTGGCCACCGTCATGGTGAGCACCAAGGGGTCGTCATGGGGGTGCTGGATTTCCTCCAGGTCCTTGTCTGAAAAAGATATGACCTCGTCGCCTTCCTGCTTCGGCACCTTAGATGGGCGCATCTCGTAGACATGTCTTGCCTTCCTGGCATGGGCCTTCATCGCGAAAAGTGATTCTCCCCCACCTGCTAGTCCCCCTGAGATGGTGTGGATTTCCCCCACGGGCTGCTGATCTTCCTGGTTGTGAGGTTGTGGTGCTCGTTCCCTTCCAGCAACGTACTGGCGTAAGTGACCACGCTGGATGAGCTCCTCAATTTGCCTCTTGAGGTCGTAGCAATCGTCGGTGTCATGCCCGTGGTCACGATGGAAGCGGCAATACTTGTTAGGATTTCTGCGATTTGGAGGAGACTTCATTTTTTCAGGCCACTTTATCGCGGGGTCATCCTGGATCTGGAATAGGATGTGTTCCACGGAAGCATTGAGGGGAGTGAAGGGTTGACGGTTCCTCTGAGGAGCAGGACCTAGCCGGTCCTTGACAGGGACTTTCTCTGTCCTGCCATGTTTGTTGTTGGTCCCCTTCTTATCGTCCCTCTCCCTTTCCTTCCTTTTCTCCCCTGCTCTGGAAGACTCACCCCGCCTGGCCCTTGTGATGTCTTCTGCGTTTATGTACTTTTGGGCCTTGGCTAGCAGCTCTGGCATGCTCTTCGGTGGGCGCTTCAGAACTGAGAAAAGGAAGCTTGATGAACGGAGGCCACCCAAGAAGGCGGTCATCGTCACCTTGTCGTCGGGTTCATCAACTTGGAGTACCTCCTCGTTAAAACGAGTGAGGTAACTCCTCAGGCTCTCCTCGCGGTCCTGCTTTATACTAAGCAGGTGCGTAACTGGCTTCTGGTGGCGACGCCCTCCAATGAAGTGTGAGACGAATGATCTGCTAAGCTCGGCGAAAGAGGCAATAGAGGCGGGGGAGAGCTTAGCAAACCACTGTCGGGCAGACCCCTTTAACGTGGTTGGGAATGCCCTGCACATGATTTCGTCTGGTACGTTGTGCAATTGCATCAAGGTCTTGTAAGTGTCGAGGTGGTCCAGTGGATCCTTTGTTCCATCAAAGGTCTCCACAGATGGCATTTTGAACTTCTGAGGGAGGGGGTAGTTTGCTACATCAGGTTTGAAAGGCGTATCAGTACGCCTTACCAGGTGGTCAACAGTCTCGGGTCCCTGTGCCTTCATGGCGTTGAAGACATCACCCAGTTGATTCTGTACCTCCTTTATCTTCTCGTCCCAATGATTGGGGGCTCCTCTGGAATGATCATGGAAGTGACTTCCATGCTCCATGCTTTGGTTTTCACCCTCATCCTCCTGGAGATAAGGGTCCTCTCCTTGGGAAGCAAGGGGAGGGGGAGGTGGAGCTCCCTCATGTTGGGCTTTCCGAAGTGGGGCACCCAATGGGGCGCCCGGGCGTGGAGCAATAGGGCGTGGTGCTCCTTGATGTCCAAGACGTGAAGCTCCTTGGGGTGCTCCATGTTGTGCACCTCCGTGAGGCCCTCCATGTTGTGCACCTCTGTGTGGTGCTCCACCTTGGGGTCCTCCATGCTGTGCACCTCCGTGTGGTGCTCCTCCTTGTCCAGCAAGTATGAGTTGCAGTAACTGTTGGTTTTGAGCAACCAGTTGCTGCATGGTCTCCAATATTTGCTGGGGATTCGGAGCTAGAGTATCCGGAACAGGGTTGGTAGGCGGGGGAGCAACCTCCTCCTCTCGTGGAGGATTGTCTTCATGTTGGTTCATGGATCGAGTAGTGATCGCCATTAGTTAATGGGTGTAATGTTCAGGAGTGAGAATTTTGTCGATTCCCACAGACGGCGCCAAACTGATGATGCACAAAAATGGTTTTGCACACCACCTGTCAAGTGTAGGTAATAAATGCAGTAAAATCAATGAAAAAATTAAAGAAGACACGATTTATAGTGGTTCGGTCAATTTGACCTACGTCCACTCTTCAATGGCTTTAGTTGCCGGGTATTTTATTAATTCAAAGGTATGGAGAATAGAGATACAAGCTTTGAGAGAATGGAGAATCAAAGAAGCAGTGGTCTCCGGTCGTCGGTCTGTCCCCCGTAAGTGTTGGTGGGGCGTGTCATTTATAGTTGTCTCCTAACAGATTGAGGTTACTTTATAGCAGCTAAGAGATCATTCTTGTGGAGATCATGACTTATCCTCAAGGCTACTTTATCGCAGCTAAGAGATCATTTTGGTGGAGATCATGACTTATCCTCAAGACAACTTTATAGCACTAAAAGATCATTCTGGTGGATATCACGACTTATCCTCAACGGAAGGAGGAGGTTGGGGAGCTCTTCATGAAACGCGGTCAAAGATTGGACCGTTTTCTTCGGTGGTGCAGATAAGCTTCTCATGCTCTCCTCTTGATGACGTGCTAAGCAAAAAGTCTAACCGGTCTTGGACTGTCTTGAGCTTGGTGGATTCAAAATGAGGTTGGGCTCCTCAACTGGGGTTGGACTTTAACACATAAATTAGACTATTTTGGCTTAACCCATCAACTATATCAGAGTTGGACAAGTTTCGGGACTTGTTGACATTGATGATGTCTACGTTGACGGAGACTTTGAATTATGGGAATGAGGCCGCGGCTAGTGAGGCGTTGGAATTGTTGATTGAGTTGGCGGGCACGGAGCCGAGGTTTTTGAAGAGGCAAATTGTGGAGGTTGTGGGGACAATGTTGTAGATTGCTGAAGCTGAGAGTTTGGAGGCGGGTACGAGGCATTTAGCCATTGAATTTGTTGTTACATTGTGCGAGGCAAGGGACGGCTCCAGGGATGGTGAGGAAGATGCTATTGAAAAGTCCTTTTTGCCCATGGAGAGACCGTGTGCTTCGGATGTGCAAATGTCAGCCTTATGCTTAATTTAACATAAGGTACCCAAGAAATTGGACAATAAATTATTAAGTAGGCCCCTTCATAAATGATGAAATCACAAGAGAATCCTCGTCTTTTAAAAGCAACCACTCTGCACTCCAAACCTCATGTTACATTGCATGATCCAAGACTCCCTTTATCCACTTGTTATATAATCAAAAGCCTTCCCAAATCAACTAGACATTCCATCTTAGGGAAATCTAAAATTTAAGCAAGCATTGCACGTCTGGAACTTTGTGAGTAGGAGTTTTTATCTATATCTTACATGTTAAGACATGTTGGTCATAGCACAAGAACGTTTGCTTTCAATGCAATTTGGAACTTGAACATGGAGAGAGCTAAGTTGAAAAATGGACTGTAACTTTCAGTCATGATGATCTCAAACTATCTGTAAATCTTAAAATCTAGAACCTCAGTGTGTTGGACTCGATAAGAGATGGAGTGAAAATTTTTAACTTTGCCCTATTGACATGACTATAATTTGATACGAACTCTATAGATTTGTATTAGAGATTTTTGACAAAATTAACTAATCGTGTCTTGCTCAAAATGACTTTTTTTATTAATCATGTCGTATTGAGTTTATAATGTCAACCAACTTTACAAGTTTAATATGGAACATAAATTTGACCTTGACACGAATCCATTGACTTATGGTTTTAACATTTATATATATATATATATATATATATATATATATATCTGTTCTTTTCCTTTGATGGGATCAATCCATGGCAACACATTCATTCTGAGTTTGTCATATATATGTTAACGGGTTTTTGAGAATTACTGTGTCCTTGGTTCGAATCCCAGTTGAAATGTGGAGATTTCCCTTCGAAGGAGGACATAGTTTTCACTTGGATGGCTCAAGTGTATGCTCAAGTGTATACTCAAGTGGTAAAAAATTAAGATGAATCGTAAATTGAAACGTTTTGTATTTGAATTTTGATAATTTTTTGGAACCAGATTATGAGAGATTTATCCCTCACGAATGTTTTAGTTTCGGCGTGATGACATACTTTTGACTGGATTGAAGAGAGTATTAATCAAAAAGTGCGTAAATTGGTCCGAACATCACTCGGCGTTGAACAAAAAAAAATTGGGTTGGGACTTGGGAGAGTGACTAGGCTTGCTTGTGCATAGTGTATTTCATCATCTAATTATTTAACCTAAACTTGATGTTTCTCAAAGCAAACTATCTGGAAATATCGAGGCTTTTGCCTCCCAAATTTCCCTCATCCCCCAAACACCGACACAGTGTCTCAGCCTACGGGATGGCTGCTCCGATCGTCCTAAACGGTCCACAAGGACCACAAACATGCCCAACACCAACCACCCATTTTCATGATTGCATACACATCTCTAATACCCCAAAATATAGCATTCAACAGTATCACATTCTCTGTCACTATCCCTCTTTCTCACCTGCCTAAGCTAAAAGAAAATGGTGTTTTCATGTTGAGAGAGAGAGTCTGCAGTCTATGAATTTCATGCCAATTGGTGATGGAAAAAGCATGGAGGCCTAATGTTGAGATATCTCCACCTTGCCCTCGTTGCGGTTCATCCAACACTAAGTTCTGTTATTACAACAACTACAGCTTGACACAGCCTAGGTACTTTTGTAAGAGTTGTAGAAGGTATTGGACTAAAGGGGGCTCCCTCCGGAACGTGCCCGTTGGTGGTGGCTGCCGGAAAAGCAGGAGAGGGAAGTCGATTCGCCTGTCAACCGATGGTGTCTCCTCAAGAAGCTTGGCTTATAGGAGTACCCCATGCCCAAATGGGACTTCCTTGGATGATTTTACAAACTCATCGATGGGGCCAGATGGTCCAAACATTGATCTTGCAATGGTTTATGCCAACTTCTTGAATCAACCACCTGAGCCAGATACACAAGTACTTGATCGTATGCTTGAATTGCCTCGGGATATTAATCCATCTTTTGAGCTTGCAAGTGCGTCTTCAAACATTCAAAAGGAGTTCAGTACTCATCTTCCACAAGAAAATGGCATTGTTGAACATGTAACTCTTCCTGAAAGGTCCTCGGAGATTCAATTAAGTGACAGTGATTCGATATATTTGTTTGGGCTCAGGTCAATTCAGAATGAACAAGAGACAATTCAGCAGTTTTTAAGTACTAATCAGATGAACTATTCTGGGTTCCCATCATTGCCAGGTGAAGAGATAGCCTCTGAAGAGATTATGTGGTCAAATTCACATATCATGGTTCAGAACCATATGTTCCACGCAACACAACCACCAGGGAATGAACCAGAAGTTTCCAAACAAAACCTATTAATTGACAGCAGGAGCCCATTTGATTTTCCTAGCTGCGGAACTTTTTTCAGGCCCTGAGAAAATGAGGTTTTCTTCATTATGTTCTTGTTGAATTTGATGTGGTTATGCATAGAAATGGACAACTTATCTTGAAATAATCCCAAGTGTAACTATATATATGCATATATATTGGATTTATTGACATGCTACATATCTCTCTATGATGATAGTAATTCAGATTTTTTTTTGGTAATAATGATTTGATTAAACTGAAAAGGGATTCGTATACAAAGTATGTCTCATGTACAGTTGACACGAGTCAAGAAAAGAAAAACGACAAAAGGGATGGCAGCTCTTGTTAATAGAACAGAAGAAGAGATGCCATCCCAAGAACAAAAAATATACATGATGAGAAACAAAAAGAAACAAGATGAAGCAAAGAGAACATATCAGGTTACTCTAACAAATCCCAAAGCATCAGCAGTTCGTCCAACCAGACAAGCCCACAATCGATTACAGCATAACCAGGACAGCAGCAGAGCACATCACGACAGCATAACAAAACCCCGAGGATTTTCCCCCAACTAGGACACAACATTTCATAGCAATTAAAACCAAAAGAAATGAAGGGAAGAGAAAGGTACAAACCCAAAGGTAACTGTAAGGGGTAGAAATCGCTACGGATCTCATCCCTCCACTTGAAGGATTTCAGCTTGACCTGGGTTAACCCACGCGGGCGACCCCCCAGTAGCCTTTACCCCTCAGTGCCCGCAGGAGCTTCGTCCCACATCGACTGAGAGTCGTCTCCCCCCCTCGCATATAAGCCCTTGCACTCAAAGGAGGAGGTACCCACTAGCGACCTGATCAGGTGCCTAGTGGGTACCTCCTCCTTTGAGTGCAAGGGCTTATATGCGAGGGGGGAGACGACTCTCAGTCGATGTGGGACGAAGCTCCTGCGGGCACTGAGGGGTAAAGGCTACTGGGGGGTCGCCCGCGTGGGTTAACCCAGGTCAAGCCGAAATCCTTCAAGTGGAGGGATGAGATCCGTAGCGATTTCTACCCCTTACAAAAAGGCGCCTTTTTGTAAGGGATGAAACCCTCCACTCAGGATTTCGGCTTGACCTCCGCGCGTTCGGGAGTAGCCTTTACCCCTCTTCCTGAGCCGGAGCCCTGGCCTAAGCCTAATGTGGGGAGGGCGCACCGTATCCCACATCGGAAGAGAGTCGTCTTCCCCCCTCGCATATAAGCCCTTGCACTCAAAGGAGGAGGCACCTGATCAGGTCGCTAGTGGGTACCTCCTCCTTTGAGTGCAAGGGCTTATATGCGAGGGGGGGAGACGACTCTCTTCCGATGTGGGGTACGGTGCGCCCTCCCCACATTAGGCTAGGCCAGGGCTCCGGCTCAGGAAGAGGGGTAAAGGCTACTCCCGAACGCGCGGAGGTCAAGCCGAAATCCTGAGTGGAGGGTTTCATCCCTTACAGTAACAAAAGCCAGAAGCAGAACAAATGTAGATAAAGCAGGCGGCCAAACTTTCATGCAATATTCACAAAACAGCTCAGGGGGTCAAATATAGTCTGTGGAAGATCCCATTCTCTTTGAACACATAAATTTGAGGGAGATCTCTGATGTCCTTTGCTTAGATGAAATTGAGCTTGATATTATCGATAACATCTTTATACACAGTGCCAACATCTTTGAAGGAGTTTCTAAATAATAGTTAGTTTCTTTCTTTCCACATAATATAGATAGAACTTGAGAGTATCAATTTACCTATAAGGTTTTGGAGGCTTTTACCATTTAAGCACCACAGAACAGTTCCACGCCAACTCAAGTGAGGCCATTGAATATTACATTTCATTTGTATAGAGGTCTAGATTCTAAGGGGTTGTTTGGTATGTGGGTTTTGGAACATGGGTTAGGGATTAAACCTCCTTAAACCCATGTTTGATAACTATACATTTAACCTAGGTTTTAAAATCAGGCTGGGTCATGAAACTCATGGGGGGGGGGGGGGTTTTAATATATGGGTTTGGGAGTTTTACATTGAAATGACATTTATATCCCCCATATAACTATACCTATGTTTGGATTAAATTGGTTAAGGGACACAATAGTTATTTATATACAAATATATTATCATAATAGTCATATATCCCTGCGCATACCAAACATTGGTATTGACAGCATTAAATATTGAATCCTATCTTTGATTCTCATCTTTTGGTCAAACCCAGATTTCAATAAGTCAATCTAAACCATTCTCAAAAAACATATTAAACAGACTTTAAAAGTAAAAGAATGCTACAAGAAAAGATGCTCATGGGTTTCAATGGCACTCCTACCAAGAACACATTGCGATGATTGCAAAAGGCCATAATTGAAAAGTTTATCCACAATTGCCAATTTTCGCTGCACTGTTAATCAGAGAATAAAACTATAACACGGTACAGCACCCAAGTACTAGACCACCTTGGACCATTGTTGAAATTGTCTTTTATCTCTAAGGGCTTCCCATGCAGATTTAACATTGTATTGGAATGTATTTGAAGGAATATATTGCACAAAGTCCTTCATACTTAAGTTAGGCTTGAAGCTATAGGAATTCAGAGTTTTTGATGGCTAAAGCAATATATACTAGTGGATGAAGTAGCGTTTATAACGCGAAAGGCAGGACAGTGCACGAGACTCCTATAATTGTGGATCATGAAGTTTTGTAGTGTCTTAATTGTTAACAATTTCATGTCTCGATCTTCAATGTTTTCTTTGTATTTAGTTTACTATAATGGTGCCCTTGATCCGATTCAAGATCATCAAGAGGCAATTCATTCCTTGAATTTATAGGTGGAAGATTTCTCATTTCGATGGGATTAAATCCCGAGTTATTGAGAAGTTTTTTTATAAAAATAAGATGAGGCTATGGAAGTAAATATTCTGGCATTTTTTGCAATACACAACACTCTTTGACTGTTTACATCCCCATACTTAAGGGGTTAGGGATTGGACTAAGCTCGGGTCTTAGGGTTTAAAAATTAATCCATTTCCAGACGAAAACGAATAAAAGCGTAGTATTTCCCCAATATTCTACCTATTATTTTCTTACATTGGACTTGAAAATCCTTTTACATAGTCCGGTGTTAGGTTTGAACAACTAATCCCCTTACCATTTCAATGCAGATAAAATAAAATAAAATAATAAAGCAGTTGTCTGCTTGAAGACAAATTGTGCTTTTGGAACTTATAAGAGACTGAGTTTCTTCCTATTCTCTCTCTTGGCAATGACGTTTGCAGTCATATATATATTCAGCATAAAACTGAGTCATCCACATGTATTTCTTTATGATTTTTAATTCTTAAAAATTGCAAAATCTGAGCTGATTCATAATAAACATTAGGACTGAATCAATCAAGGGGGCTAATCTTCAGTTCATAAAGGAGAAAACCAATACTCAGTTGAATAGGTCTGACCCACTTTTACTTACAATCTGAAAGGCATAACGGCATGGATTGCTGGTCGAAATCTTCACTAACAAAGCAAATGCATAGATTAATAATAATTAATGTACGACCTGAAGCTAGGTTAGGATCAAATTGAGTGCAGTCAACTTGAGGCAATCAGGTTGAAAAAATTTGGTGTTACCCAAACTAACAAGTCTTAACATATTGGGATCTTACATGGTTAGGTCACCTGCCTGGATGATAACTTACAAGCTTAAACAAAGACAAAGAGCAATGCTACATGGATCTAAAAAGTAAATTTGATAATTATAATCATTGATTTTACGATAGGTCTCAGAATTTATTAGAACTCACTATCTATTCAATAATTATGATTATCAAGTTTAATTTTTAAGTTCATGTAACATTTTCATTAAACAAATTACTCCTATAATCATAACCATCAGTCATTTTGAGTCCTGTGACTCATTTCTGCATGCAAAGTTTGGATATACACAATCTTTCACAAATTACGCATATCAGGTTAATTGAGGTATAGTGCTAAGGAGAATCAAATGTAGATGTATGGATTTATACTTCTCTCAGTGTTCAACCGATCGATGAACCAACGCGATGATTGTGATCTCCTACCTATTTGATGATACATATATAATACCCGTGGCAACGAAAGAGCTACCCATAAACCAATGTTTAACCATTGGGCATAGCTAGGTTTTGATAATTCCAAACATAGGTTCAATTCATTGGGGGTAATCTAATCCATTGGTCACACTATTCCATCAATTTTATACACAAATCCTATGTCCACGACATTGGAGTGAAATTTTCATCAGATTTAAAAATAATATGATTTCTGGAAGTTACAAAAACAGAATAATTTGCATTCCACCAATGCGGCCATAAAATATGGACAATTTTGTCTCCATTTACTGCCTTTTCTGGCAGATCCAGTCAAACTGATACTCTTTGTTTTGGCAGGTAATTCCACACAGGCTCCAATCAGCTGGAACTATAATGGATAGCTGACGAGGTCCACCACGCCTGCTTTGTAATTAATCAACAGTCATGGAAGGAAATTTTTTACATGTTTTTCATTATTTTGTGATTTAAAAAAATGTCAATGTTAGCTTTGCTGAGTTCCACTTATTTTAGACTGAAAGAAAAGGGTATTGATAAGAGAAATGCTCCAACCATCATAGCATCCCTCACTTGTTTTTCAGTAAGTGGAATTACTACAAAATAAAATTAAACTATAAATTAGATTGGTGAGGTAAATGCAAAATAGGGTGGGGATCTATCTTAATATTTAAGGATTCTACAAGCAGAGTTCTTCCATGCATTGGCATGCAATTTAAGGATCTCTCTAGCTTTTTCCTGGGTCTTGCTACCACAATCCACTTGAAGCACCAGGCAAAGCTTTGCCACTACACCCAGAGTCAGCATCTCTTGAAGAACACTGGGAGTTGCAGAAAACTTCGAAACAAAAACTAGAATCCTTACAGCCCTTTCAGTTGCCATCTTTGAAACCCAAAGTATCTTCTTTGACACAATTGCTAACCCAGCTCCATGGTTCAACAACTCGGCTCTTCCCTCTGCACACTGGCACAGATGATCCAACACCA